ATGCTCATGCCCGTCATCCACATGGTGAACTCCACTGGAACCCCAGCTGGGAAATTGGCCCTACAACCTGCGGCCCGGATGCTATCGCCTTGTGTCTCTGACCACTCGCCCGTTTGAACCGGGGTCGTTTTCACTTTCAGTTGTTCGTCCTGACGCTTGGATGACGCCAATGCAGTCCTAGATCCGGCAATAGAGCAACTGATTTGTCTTCTGGGGATGGCCATGGGTCTGAGAAAAGCTGGTCGCCCAGCCTTAGCCAACATCCAGTTCTCTCCTCTGTCTTTCTTTGGCGTATCGGTCGTGTGTATGCACCCATTGCCTTTGCTTATTCGCTGCAAGATTGCCGAGTGCTCTTTACTTTTTCCCTTCCACCTAAACAACAGGTTTTCACTAGTATTCGTATTTTGCCTTCTCGCTCGTCGTCGTCGACTGTTTCATGGACCAGTCTCTTCCTCCTACCAGCTGTTCGCAGAGCATATCGTCTTCCTGTTAGCAACATATACAACCCTCAGGGTGTAGTAACCAATCGTTTCTTCTTTCCTTTAGCAAAGGACTTGCCGAGGTTTTCTTCGCTTTCTTTTCACTTTGGACCTCAACTCCTTGTCCCCCTCCTTTCCACAATTGTGCCCGGGACTCTCGATCATGCTTCACAGGCTCATATAAGCCGCTCTGAGCATTACCCGGCAAAATCTATCCCGTCTCGGTCTCTGACAATCTTGGTAACCTCGACTAAACCATGCTCCCTAAAACAGCGCGCCTGTGGGCTTTGCTGTGTTTGGCTTTGATCGTCCAGAGTGCAGTTTCGCAGAGTTTTGATGTTGTCAAGAGGGACGACAATCCGACACCTACGACTATACCGACCTCATCTTCATCGGCACCGAAAGGGACCAATTCTGCTCGAATAGACAATGATGGGAAGGACCCAAAAGAAAGAGGAGGAGAGTCGCTTTCGTCGACATTGAGTGGCACCATCACCGACGCGCCAACTTCGACACACCGTCCGACGAGTACTCTGCCGCTCACCATTGCCACTGACGGACCCTTGGACAATGCCACATTCTTTAACGGTATGAGAATTCGTGTGGCATGACTGGATAGTTCTCCCCTGAAAGCTGACTCTTCCAACCAGCAACGATACCTAATGGTCAGCTACCACTGCCACCCCGACTCACTCCCGGCTGGGGAGTCGCAGGAGTCATTATGCTCGTAACCGGCGTGATTTACACACTGGTTGGAATAAAGAACAGATGGATCCACACCTTCTTTTCCACTGCGTATATGACGGCGCTTGGCGTATCAGTGTTAATCGTATACGTTATGAATGTTCCCGTCAGTAACGCATTGCAAGGCGGGTACGTTGTTGCTGTGGTCATGTCAGGTTGCGCTATTGGCGCCGCAGCAATGTTTTTCAAGGAACTTACCGAAGGATTTGGGTGTGCCTTGGGTGGATTTTGCATTAGTATGTGGCTTCTTTGTTTGGTTCCCGGTGGACTGTTGCACGCAGTTGCCTCCAAAGCCATATTCATTGCAGTCTTTACAGTCGCTGGGTTTGCGTTCTACTTCAGCCGATGGACACGGGACTGGGCCCTTATCTTCATGATATCCTTCGGAGGTGCTACAATCACTATTTTAGGTATCGATTGCTTCAGCCGGGCTGGCCTCAAAGAATTCTGGGCCTATGTGTGGGACATTAACGACAACCTGTTCCCCCTTGGCGCGGATACCTATCCTGTGACGAAGGGCATCCGGGTTGAGACAGCAGCTGTGATAATCATTTTCTTAGTTGGCATAATTTCGCAGATCAAACTGTGGAGAATTGTCCGTGAGAAGAGAGAAAAGAGGGCCGCTGAGCGCGCTGAGGATCAACGCAATTTGGAAAATGAGGAAGAAAATGTCGGACGCCATATTGAAGACCTGAATGCTCGGGAACGGCGTCAATGGGAGCGAGCATACGGTGATGGCATGAGCCACAGCATCACCGACTCTCGTGCAACTGACTATGGAGATGTGGGAAGCGAAAAGAAACTCCGGCCCAGTTATGTTGAATCTAAGCAACGCACTTCTGGCGAGGTCATCGAAATGGCAGACATGTCGGAGTCGGACACATCGAGAAACGGAATGGACGGATTAATGGCCAATGAAGACACCGACGAAGGAAAAATTACTGTTCGGGTCGCTGCTGATGACGTCCCTGAGTCGACGACGGATATTGAGGCAGAACGGCTGGATGAAAAGGCGCCTTCAAGTGTGGAAGCAAATGTGCTCACAGACGGGAAGTGGTACTCAAAGGAAACCACGGCTGGCAAGCGCCGCCCTCAGGCTCACAGTATGACGGAGGTGCCTGAGGTGATTCCATTGCCATTCACTGTCCCTGAAGCAGCTGATTCTGCGTCCGAGGGAGACCGATCTTCGATTGCCACTTTTGCTGATGACGTGGAGGCGACCGCTGCTGAGCCGTTGAAGCACAGGTCGCTCGTAAAGAGGCTATCTCAAGGATCTGTGACACTCCTTCGAAGCTTTTCTCACAGATCTGGCCGTACAGGAGGTGTAGGAGGCGACGTGGCCTCCGATGCGGGTGAGAGCACTGAGGAACTTGTTTTGGAGAAGACTCGCAGACCCGAGAATGAAGGAGGATCCTTGGCAGCTACTATTGACGATGAAAGCGTCAGCGGAGGAAATCTTCATTCAATAACCGGTGATGATGAACTGCGCAATATCCACGAGGGTGATGAAACGAATAGACGGAGCATTGAGATTGATGCCCAGCTTGGCGGAAAAGGCGACACAATACGATATAGTGTCAAGTCGACGAAACCAAAAACAAAGTCTAGCCCAACTTCGACAGCAACCTCTGGCCCGGTCGTTGGCATCAGTGAGCCAAATGAAGATACCACCACTGAGCTTAGAGATACATTGCCAACGTCAGAAGACAAGGCTATGCAACTGGGTGGTGAACCATACGCCGACTTGACTCCTCCCGAAGCCTCGGAACGAGCCAAGTCAGTTGCAACCGCCTCTTCTACTCCCGCGAGCTTGACCAAGGATCGCTTGCCTAGGCCGCTTTCGAAAGCCGCCATGTCTTATAGAACTAATGAGTGGGCGAAGCACTTGAGCAATGCAGAGTGTCCTGAACCTGATGCACTGCAAGTTACTCTTGGAAGAGCAAAGAAGGAGGTAAAAAACAGTACTGAGAAGGCTGCTCCGGTCAATGTTGCAGAGCTTCAGAAGACAGCTAAGGATGGAACTCCTGCGCCGGCCGTGAGACGATCAATATCTCAAGCTTCAGACATGGGAAACAATACTCACCTAGCCAAGCGTTCCTCAAAACAAGACCTATCACCACCCACACGTCTTGTAACGCCTTCATCTTCAACAGGATTAGAAACGTCCGGCGAACAGCGAACGCCATTATCGCCTGTCATAGCGCCTGCAGCGCTTCTTCGAAAGTCCTCTGGCCCTCGACATTCGACGTCCAACTTCATGCCAATCGCTGAGGAGAACTCTCTTCAGGCGGTAGACTCGCCCATTGTCCGGGATGAAGCATCTGAGAAGCAACAGCCAGCTTCGAACAACTCGTCAGCAATCATACTAGACGGTTCCCCGGCGACAGTACTGGGACGAAATCCAACGTCAGGTGTAGTTTCGTACTCGAGCCCCCAAACCCTCATTGGACAACGTGAAATGTTCCTTCGAAGCAAGTCTCAGGGAAGCCTGTTGTCAAGCACGCCAGAGCCTATATTCGCTCACCAGGGACCTGGAAGCGACGGCGGCTCGCTTTTCAACTATCCCACGTATGCTGCTGCCTTCAACGTGGCCGATCCTGACGATGTTCCTCTAAGTCAGCGAAAGGAGATCATGCGCCAAAGCAGCTTGATGTCCTTGTCACGTTCGCCATCCCAATCCATAAAGGCGCCGTCACGGCCCACATCTGGATTTGAGAGCTCTGAAAGCATCGTATTCAACTCTCACCAACCCAGGAGAGTATCTACTCTTCCCACACAGGCCGTGCGAGAATCTCAGCTGGCCAGCTTCCGACAATCCGTGCAGCAGGAACTCCGTTCAGGAACACCAATTATAACGCCTTCAGGACGTGAAACCCCGTTCGGGCCCTCGACTTTACTGGGCGGCGGCCGAGAGGCAGAAGTGCAGCGCAACATCGAAATGCAACGGAGCGTTCTCATGGGACAGAAAGAGGCTGAAGCACAGCGCAGAGAATCGCAGAAACGTGAAAGAGAACATGCAGACCGCGCATTTGACGAGCGGATGCGAAACGGAGACATGCTTGACGCTCACAGAGAGGCCATGCGGAAAATGCAGAAAGGCGCTCGCTAGTCAGTGGTCACATGCAGGAAACAAGGCAGGAATGGCTGCGTGTCTCATTGACTCCTTCCATTTTCTATCCAAACACCACAACGACAGTCTTGACTTTGACGATTTCATACGGAGAACAAAACAGTAGTCCTTTTGGGTGTCGAAAACGCGCAAGTACTAATCAAAAGTTGCTCTTGATTCTTTGATTGTTTTTTTTCTGATCTTTTGTTGTCATGGATTTGAACGAATTTGCAAAATTGTTTGATACCATGGCGTAATGGGTGGGATTCTGAGACGGACGAGCCAGGACAGCCAGTGCGTGCAGGAGTGTGACAACTAGACATGATGTAAAAGGACTATACATCCTCATGCCGTGTCCAGTGAATCGGTAACTACATAGAGGTGGTATGATTGGGGGTACATGGCATAGAACCGGAGTTTTTCACCGTTTGCTTCGCGGCCCGTGTGGATGGGTCTTATCTGATAATGTATGACAATGTTAATTCCTTAGTACTCAATTAATTGACTTTTTCAAGTATTTGGCCAATTTTACAACATGAAAATATTTGTGTATTCGCCATTCGTCTTGGTTCGCGGCATCTAGCTAAAATACAGCCCAAAAGCAAGATCCTCCTTCAACCGCGCGCCGTCTTGCAAGACCACACACCCGTCGCATGAATCGCATCATGTTAGTTTGTGATAGTTTCGGTCTTTCGTGACACCGCTGTTTGAACGTGGACACTCCTAGGTGCTGCCTTCCTGACAATTCGGACAGACTGAGATGGCCCGGACTCGCCTCCATCCCCACACCAAACTGTCGTCTGGACATTAGCTTCGGACAGACCTGGTTCACGACAGGCTTTCGTCAAAGGCGAACCTAAATGAACTGGACCCAGATGTGATACAATCTCAGCATTTTGCTGGCTTTTCTTCACCTGGAACCATCGTCGTAGAGATGGCGGTACAGTAGTGGTATGGCGAGTACGGAATAGGAAGGGATTATTACCAGGGAGCCTGGTAGGTTGAGTGGCTGGCTCAATCTCCATGGAGAAATGCGGACCTGGTTGTCTCGATTCGTGACTCAACGAACCTTCGATTCCCAAGGACACGGTCTGGCTGGACGGATTGGACGAGGTGGGAATCTCGGCCTTTGATGGCATGCTGTGTGGTGTTGGTGTTAGCAGAGAGGTCATGGTGAGAAAACAAACAAAAGCCTGGGAATATTACCTAGTCAGCGTTTGCTGAAGGCGGCCAGATCCAAAGGAGCCTCCGCTCGTAGTCACGGTTCTGTCGGGATCATACTCGTTGTGTAGACCTGGAAAGATGGCACCGAAGCCAAAGAAGAGGAGAACCTGCCGGTAGTCGTTGATGGCATCCTTGGTGAGACCGAAAAAGACAAAAATAGGAATGGCGGTGGCAATTGGGATGTAGCAGTTGTTCATGTAGGTCCAACTGATCTCACTTGAAGGAAAGAAAATGATTGTGTTCCATGGGAATGGGGAAGCATGGTTATGAACTTGATCGTAGCTGTATGGCTTGATGCCATGCATGTCCATAATGTTGAGTACGGACAGTGCAATGACTATGGGGAGAAACGGAACGAGAATCGAAATGACCATGAGATAGAGCTTTCTTCTTGTTCGCTGGCTCCTCTGCTGTGCTATGCGGTTGCCGCAGAGAGCCGTTTCGGTCGTCTTGTGAACTTGTCGAAATCTCTTGTAAATAAGGACTAGAAAGGGTGAGGAGAAGAGGGTGTATATGTCAGCCCACGTCTTCACGAGGCACTCGGCGCGGCACTTACCAGCATATCCCGTGGTAATCAAGGCAAAGATTGGAGGCGGCAAAACAAAGAAGATAAGAAATGGCCAAGAGGGATGCGGTATCCAGTTGCAACCCATCAGCGTGCCAACCAAATAGCGCTGGGCTGTAAGTGGCCAAGTCAATGCGAGCTGGAGGATGGGAAAGGGGAAGATGATGAGCGCCTGGATCAAGTTGCGGCGACGCCTCTCCCTCGTTGTAAGCGCATTGGCTCTCATCAAACCAACTTGTTGCGCCAGGTTGCGCATAATGGCCAGCAGACAGGTAACAAAAAGCCCGATGCTGATGTTGTGGATGTAGGCGTCGAAATCACACCAGCCATAGCCAGCCCACCATGACATGATGTCGTCGTTGCGCCAGATGAGTGCGTTTATGATGGTCTCGAGGTTCTTAATCTGGGTATTCAGGATAAACACTACTGCGGCAAGCTCGCCGTTGCGGTACAGCAGGCGAAGCGGAACGAGGCAGACCAAGTTGGCCACAACGGCGAGCAAGACTCGACAAACTAGGTTGGCAGTCAAGCCCGGAGAAGTGTAGGGAGGGAATGTCGGAGCACTTGCTACGACGGTGACTGGGCCGCGAGCCTGGAGAAGATGAAGTGGTGATGTCTCCATGTCTGGGGTTGTTGAGAAGCGGTCGATTGGGCTTGGTATCACGAAGAAGAATACAACGAAGAGCAGCTCACGGCTTATCCCAACGCAAGAAGGACGAGATGGAAGCAGGCCCGAAGTTGACTGTGTGTTTTCACCAAGCTCCCTCTCCTTCTGTGACTAGCCGTACACAAAAGTTAGACATTCTACTTATTGTATCACTGCCTGCGGAAGGGGGAGTCTTATAGAGCCCCGACAATTGGCAATGAGGAGACAAAAAGACAAAAGAGTATTGAATACATGATGACAGTAGGACGCATGTCTAGGATTCAACTTCCTTATTGAGCCAATACAAAGATACACCTTTGCAAGTGACAAGACAGGATTCAACCCATAGTGGCTTTATTGTGACATGGAGTAACACAGCCGGGCCATGACGAGGATACAAACAAATATCACGGCAAGAGTTTCACCACCAAAAATAAAAAAAAGGAAGCAAGCTGCACATTTGCCTCAGATACCTCAAGGCCGTGGCTGTCATCGCAACAACGGGAGTACCCGATGTAAGATTCTCTAGCTTACAATGGCTGTTGTCGAAGTTTGCCTGCCATGCCGAGTAGAGCTGAGGCTATTGACGTGAGTCTATTGACACCCAAATCGGGAAGCCACGTCCCCTGGAAGAGACGGGGAGACCCACCGTGGCTGCGATGCGGCGAGCAGGAACGCGCACGTTGACATGTCTGGTGTCTGGTTTGTGCAGAACACGGCTTGAAGAGAACATCTGCAAGAGATTGGTTGTACGTACTACGACGTAGTCTCGGCAGATGGGCGGTGCGGATCCCATTGGGCCAGAGCTGGAATCTGTTCGCGCATGGCGGAAGCTATTACCGTCGCGCCGGGAATGGCGAGAACAGAGGCGCCTTGTAGGTGCCCTGGAGATTAAATGGACGGGAGCATCTTGGCCACCCCTTTGGTCGAATATAGAATGTGGAAATAGGATAAGGGGGACGGGGGAAGCCTGAGAGACAGCTCGATGGCCTTTTGTTCCTGATGCCGAGTTCTGCAGGAGAGAAAGGCTTCATGCTGGGGCTTAGTTGTACAGATCAGGCAACAGCGCTGTTTGTTCCCTCTTGGTCGGGAGTATAGAATAACCGTCGGCATATCTTTGTTCGAGCGCATAGTGCATAAATGGCCGACTCCCAGATGGCCGATGGCAGACCCCACGATTCGTCCAGATTGACCATCATTTCGTGACTTTATGCATCCAGGAAGGCGGCCAATCAAAGCTCGTCGCGATACCCGTTAGATACCTTATTAATGGAGCTTGGACTTGACGCGGTCTGACGCGACCGCCACCCTCAAGTGGTCCATGCTTCTGCTCTGCCTCCTCCAGGGCGGCTGCGGATTGGTTACCAGCAGTGCCGCACCACTTGAGCATGACCAGCAGCACCCTGAGAGGGCAGGGCAGGGCAGGGGCAGGGGCCATTTGGTCGTTCATGTCTTCCAGACATCAAATCGCAGCCGATCAATTGATATCAAGCATCTGCAGACCCAAGCTCGCTTCCCTTTCGCACTCACACACACCCCATCCCACCCTCGAATAGTCTCTTCGCCCGCCATCGCCATCGCCCATTGCCACGCCAATTCGAGCCTCTCTCCAAATAGCCGATTAATCACAATGTCGTCCTTCCTTCTCCGTCGTGCCACCGTCGCCTCTGCTGGCGCCGCGCGCTCCTTCAGCACCTCCTCGCCGCGATCCGTTGCCCGCATCTCCATTATTGGCAATCTTGCCGATACCCCCGAGATCCAGCCCACCAGCAGCGGTCGCGAGATCCTCAAGTACGCTGTCGCCAGCAACACTGGCCCCAAGGACAACCGCCAGACCAGCTGGTTCCGTGTTACCAGCTTTGCTGAGGGTCCCCGAAAAGACTTTTTGCTGAGTCTGCCCAAGGGGTACGTCGCCTTGCCTGCGCTTCCTTGTCCAATCCTGCCGTTTTCACTGTGGTGAAAACCTTTGCCCGATCGGCCACTGTACCGAGCCATGTCGGAGGACTTGCCCTGCTAACCATGTCAAAACAGTGCCATGGTTTACGTTGAGGGTGATGCTACGATCAGCACATACCAGGACCCCAATGGCCAGACTCGCAGTGGCCTGAATATTGTTCAGCGTGCGTATCGGTGTTCCCCTTTTCGCAAGACTCCCCTTTTGACTCGTGACTACAGGCAGCATTGAAGTTCTCAAGCGACCCCAGAACGCCGGCCAGAGCGAGTAAAAAAATTCTACTCGAATGACAAGATAACATCAACCAAGCACGGCGGATACAACACCGGGTTTATGAAGGTCGTTGCGCATCAAGACTCCTCCTCTCCGCTCTGAATAATCTCCCCCATTTCATTTTGTCAGACGTTTATGTGTTTTCCGACTAGGATTGGACCTGTAGGACTCCTCTTGTACAAATATGGGCGATACCAGGCTATGTAGTGCCATGACAACATTTAATATATTTTGAAACGTATCCATCGCACCGCGGATGAATAACTGTCTATGTTTCCAAGTAGAATCCCGAGCATCTTGCGCTCCAGCTTCTGCCTCCATCTTTGGCTCCGTGACGCGCCATCATCACGTCAGCGACACGCTGTCCATGCAACCGTATCCGGCAGCAACGCCTCCCTCTTGGCTTTCTTCGCCCTTGGTTCTGAGGAGCCAGCCCGCCTGTTCATTTCGAATGACTTCTCCCGTCTCCTGGTTCCAAAGACACGTGCCATATACCCCGAGCTCAGAAATCACTCGACCTTTTTCAATGGCTCCATTGCGCAGGATGAAGTTGTTTTCGGCCGGCGCTTTAATAAGCTCCATTAGAATGTACGAATTCCAGTGAGCCTCTGGCACCGTCTTCAAGAACCCAGGAATCGCGCTTCCGTAGATGTTGTTTCCGCCCCCTTCCCTCTGCGGCTTCAAAACATAATCGACGCACTGTTCGGGATCGAGAGCCTTCTTCCGTGCCTCCAAGCCCACATCCGACGTGTCCATGGGGTAAATGTTGGTGAATGTGTTCCATAGGGCAATGGCGGATGGCGTGTCATCCTTGATGAATTTACTGAGGATCGACGGCTCAGACGACGGTCGAGGGGTTGCAAGAACCTGCTGCACTTTCTTGATGCCGGCTACCTGTGTTAGGACCGTGGGGCACTTGATGGCATGCGAGCGTTCAAGATGACACCTAGCATCCCACGTTTGCTGATTCGGATAGTCGTCAGGGCCATAGCCGCCCCGCATATACACAACGGCCACCTCAAAGACCCTGTTCCCGTTTCTGGGGAGCGTATAGAGAAGCTGGCGCTTGGGGCTTTTGGCAATGGAAGTGTGCTTCATGATGTCTGTGAAGGCTAGCCGGAAGACAGGTATGGTGGGCGACGACTTGGAAATTTGATACTCCAGATGGCGCTGGTCAAAGACGTTGCGCTCGCCACCTTGGACTAGAAAGATGACGCATTTGTCGTGTCCCAGTTCGGAATCGCCATACGCGTGATAAGCCGCCTCAATCCCGCCTGCCAAACCCTCGATAGTGTTGTTTGCGGGAAGATCCAGGGTCCCTTGGGCCAGGGGCTGGCCGAGGAGAGGATATTCGGTTTTTGCCAGAAAGTTGTGCAGCCTGGAGGCATGTACGGACAGGCCGCCGAATGATGCAGCAATGGTGTTGAACTCTACCTGTTTTGCTTGCGCCGTGGGCGACTCGCTAGATTTGTGCTCGTGTACCATGTAATCAGATCTGAAGAGACCCAATGAAAGCGGCTTGTCCAGTTAGGAAGGACTGATAGTCTAGTCAAATTCTTTCTTCGGCTGGTTGACGCTTACCTGGGTGTATCCTTCTGACTTGACAGTCTCATGGACCGCCCACAGATCACGGACAAAGTCGTCGCCATCAATGACCCTAGGCGACAGGAGTTAGCAGCGTGCCCCCCCGTGAGATGTGTAGTTTGGTGAACTTGCTGCTTCACGACATCTGCCAAGAAATTCTCATCTCTGCTCACGGCAGCATACAACTCGTTGTATGCGTTCTGCGCCTTCTGACCTTGCAGAAAGGCTTGGCGGGGAAAGGCCGTCGGAAACAGTGTCACGGGTGCGGGCACAGCAGTTATCCTGGTTGGATCTGCTTCCGAAGAAATTACCGCTGGCGGAGTCCGAACCGCGAGGCCATTGCCAATCGCCCAGTCCTTGATGACCTCGACGAGGTGGTCGAGCTCTTCGGGAGTTGTTGCTGGCGGATACTGCCGGGATGGTTCAGCGTCATGGCCCGAGGTCATGGTTGCAGGGCAAACGATGGGACTGGAAGATGAGACAAAAATACAGTATGACGGATAGATGGACACCCAGAGGGCATGGAACTCGAGTCGAGACTTGGGTCGAAAGCAGTGGCTGGTGAGGGTTGGCGTGTAGTTGAGGGAATGGATTATTAGTAATGGCTTTCTGGGATGCTGAAGTGGGTATCATGGGCGGGAACGTGGTGTTTCTCACGGGTGGCTTTGCAACGTTTAAAAATACAAGACTGTGCGTATACACAATTACAGCAGTGATCTGTGAAATGTCCTTGGTTCACAAGACTCTACTCCCTACACACGAACCGTCTGACTTGCGGATTGTGAGGATGGATGAGGCATGGTGTCTCGCGCTATTGCAGCACCTATTGGAGCAACGGCCACAACCTGGATCGGCATCCACACGCCATAGTCTCACAGTCGCAGCGCAACAAGGATTTAGACCCAAGCAGCCGTGGCATCTACGACTTTTGGGAGCTGAAATTGTCAAGTGTGCAAAAATTAAGCGGCCATTGACCGGGTGAGGAACACCTTCATGGCCTCCATGGCCGCGTCTATGGCCACGCTCCCCGACTTCGCTTGTGTCACGTGCCAGTTCTCGTAGCCACCCAGCGACAGCCATCAGACCTTTAGGAGGGCTCGTGGGGCAGCTGGCACAGCTGGCAAACGATGTATGCCAAGCCGGGTTTCCTTCGCCACCGCCAACGCGTTAACTGTTTGTCTTTAGCATCTTTGGCATGCAACACTCAGTTGCGAAAATCCGTTATAGGCGATGTCATGATGTTTTCAATCATCGGCCCAAACAACACGAACAGCGACTCTTTTTTCAGTCTCACGTAGTTTTGAGTTCTCCTTGGCCGAGACGTGGTCATCACCGACTTGCTTCTTGTCTTCAGGATATCAAGGTACATTTTAGACTGCTTAGACTGCAGGTATGCTCACCTCATATGATGTTTTTTAATTAATTTTTCATTTGCGGCGTCTAGAAAGTATGCGGGGGTAGTGGCATAGCTATATCGACGGTCTTGAGCACGTCTTTGGACCTTGGATGAGATGAAAATTTTAACAACCTGCCGCATGTGCTTCGCATCCAGGTCACTGATACTAACGCAATTATTTTTAGACAAAGCTGACTAATAGACTTCTCATGTCGTCAAATGGACGGAATTCAGTCGACAGACCCCTTTTTATGGGATGTGAGCGCGGTCGCAAATGAGCTATGTCACCTCAGCCGTCCTTGTACACGCAATCCGGAGATATTAGCCGCAAAGCTCCAGGAGAATGAAATCGATGGGCATACGCTTTTGACATATGACCTCGTTGGACTCACGAACGCACACGACTTGCGGAACGAACTTTTCCAGCTCCTTCATGTTCAATTAGCCCGACACAAAAATGCCTTGGGGGAAGCCATCATGAAGCTGCGTGCCAGGAGCCCAGCCTTCCGCCGGTGGAAACTGGACAACTTAGAAATCAGCGGCCACGAAGAACGCGACGTGCGTAGCCGTGACTGGGAGGGTTCGTATTCAACCCAGAGGACCCCCCAGTTTGATCTCCTTCTCCCATGGACAACGCCAAGGACCTCGTTCAGCAAAGTATTTCCTTCTACGCCTCTACCACTCCAGGTTGTGGATCCGGGACGTACTTTGCACACACCTGAGCTGAGCATGCTTGGTACTGATGGCGGAAGGGCCCATGACGCGGACGTCGGCGCTGCTCCTACGACGGAATCGTTGTCTCTGCCCAGCGGAGTGTCACCTGTCGTGGACGCGAACAGTCCTGTTAAGCAACTGAAAAGGAAACGAGTTGCTCCTGAATTATTACAAGAAGAGCCTCTTAATATCGTACCAGCTCCGATTGCAACCGAGGCCGATATATTAAGTAGCGATTCGCTGAACTCGTACCCATGGGATACCGCTGATGAGTTTGCATATCTTGGACCTGGGGCCATTTCTCAGAGGGAGGTCAAATCAAACTCAGATGCTTTAACCCTCCAGATTCAGGGTGAAGGTGATGCCCTTTGCACACCAGCACCCACTCGATTCCCCCCTGGTAGACGGCTCGCTATCAACAAGATTATGAGACGTGTCTTGGTGGAAAACGGCAAGAAAATAGCCATGGCGGATGCTGGAGTGACCCTCGACGCTTTGAGACAATCATCTAGCGAAGGTGATAAGGTCCTGGACCTGGATGATATCCCAGATGAAGTCGATGAGGAAACCTTAAGAGAGATGGAAGCTGAAAAGACGGAATTAGCTCAAATGTCTGAAAATCTTGAGGGGACTAACGCCTCGAAAAGTCTATCACAAGATCGAGTACGACAGCTTCTGGACGAATCGGTTTTAGAAATGACGAACAACTGGACTGAGAAGAAGAAGCCTAAATATCAAAGCAAAGCCAACGCTTTGTGGGTTGATGCGTCAAGACGGGGCGCCAAGACGCACCGCATTTTGGAAGCTAGGGCACAAGCCAAGTTCTATGACGAAAGAATTAAGAAGTTGGAGAGAGGTATTCTGAAGCAAACGTGGGAAAAAGAAAAGCAGGTTCGATTTCAGGCACGTTTGCTGGAGCAAAATGTCGAAGACAAGCTTTACCAGTGTTGGGTAGCAGACACTCTGGAGTCTCGAATCCCACCGCCCAAACCAGTTTCGCTACCCAGGCGTTCGGTTACATGTCCAAAACGAACACATATGGAGCTGTCGGATGGAGAAGTCCTGACTAGCTCAGATGAGGACGCATTCATCGTTGATGACGAGCCAATTCCGCCAGTCACGCCAATCAAAGAGGCTCGGCATGCTATTCCCAGCAAAGTCAATCGAACACCAAGCCCAATTCTGGTCGAGTCTCCAGTGTATATTGATCTTACACAGACCGCATCTACTCGAGCTTCGTCTCCCGTTAAGTGGTCTACAAATGTCGTTGATTCGGTGGACTTGGATACTCCTACGAAAGTGCGACCCGACAGTACTCCCATGATCAAAGAAGATCCCAGCGGAGACGAGTCAGTTAAGCAGCCACAAGCCTCATCGTGGGCTGAAAAGTATCGAGATGTTGAGAAGATCATCAGCTTTCCGATCAGCCACTGGACCAAGGAAAAGGAACGGTTCGCTCTAACAATTACTCTGCTGTGGAAGTTAGGGCACCTGCGAAGATCTGCAATTTTTGAACACGTTCGAGTCTGTGAGGCACATAAGTCTTTCAAAGCCACAATTCTGAAGCACATATCTGATCCTCTCAAAAACTTGGATCATCTGCGTTTCACAAGCCCGGAGTCTCTGGCATTTGATGTCTCCAGATTGTTTTTGTGTTTTCTCAAAATAAAAAACCTCAAAGAGACTCGATTAGCAGACCTAAAGCCTTCCCAAATTACAAAGCTGAAGGCAAAAGAAAACCATAGCTCTTGGAATATCTTTCATGCATTCCTCAAGAAAATGGCGCCACTGTTCCCCCAAGATAACCGGATTTATAGGGAGGAAGAACTTGACGATGATGAAATACTCGGTGATGATGCTGGTGAGGATGAGGCTTCTTTGCTTGGGCAAGCGCACAAGTCCAAACCACCTCGAAAGGCTGCACCCAAGGAAATCATTCGCAATAAAGAGGCTGTAGACATCAGAGAGCGTGAAATCCGTCGACAAGAGGAGCAGGAGACTCGAAGGCTTCGTCTTCGTGCAAATTTAGGAGAAAATGGCCAGATTGCGTCCGACAAATCTCGATTGATCATAAATGAGAGTAAGCAAGACGACCAATCATTTATTTATATTAACAACGAGATCGGCCCTAGAATCAAAGATCATCAAATAGATGGCGTTCGATTCATGTGGAATCAGATCATACAGGATCCTGAACTTCGCCAAGGATGCCTCTTGTCGCATAGTATGGGCCTCGGAAAGACAATGCAAGTCATCACTCTGCTCGTGGCGATTCAAGAATCAAGCAAGTCTTCCGACAAGAGTATAGTCTCGCAAATCCCAGAAGACCTTCGTCAGTCAAAGACCCTGGTGACATGCCCAGCCGGGCTGGTGAATAACTGGGTGGACGAAATTCTGATTTGGGATAATGACCGAGTTCTTGGAGATCTCCATGTGATTGATTCGACGCTCTCTATTGAAGAACGCCTTACTGCCGTTCAAGAGTGGTCCCAGACGGGCGGTGTTTTGGTTATCGGATATCCCATGCTGCGAAAAGTGTCGGATGAATTAGACAAAGAACGATCTTTGCTATCCATTTTTGACGAGCCAAACATTGTTATTGCTGATGAAGCTCACGTGCTCAAGAATCCTAAGTCGAGGCTTAACCTGGTTTGCTCCCGCTTTCGAACAACCAGTCGGATCGCCATGACCGGGTCACCCCTGGCCAACAATATTGAAGAATATTACTTCATGATCAATTGGGTAGCGCCAAATTTCCTCGGTCCTGTGGAAGAGTTCCGTGAAATCTATTCGAATCCTATATCGCACGGCGTGGATATAGGAAGCTCAGGCGTCGATAAACGCAAAGCATTGAAAAAGCTTGAGGCTCTAAAACAGATCGTGGCTCCAAAAGTACACCGGGCCACAGTGAACAGCTGCATGCAAAAAGACTTGCCGCCGAAACAGGAGTTTGTTATCTGCGTTAAGCCCAAGCCTTTGCAGGTCAAGCTCTATAATCTTTTTGCACAAATCATTCGCGGGGAATCAGTGGGTGATATACAGGCCGAAGCGGAGTTGAGAGGCGCAGTCTTCCGAGTCACAAACGATCTTACGTTGCTCTGCAATCACCCTTATGCATTCTACGAAAAGGCGATTGAGACTCAGGATCCACCCAAGGCAGAATCCAAGCAAAGGGCAGGCCTTCCTCCTAGCATCATACCTGCCGTGTTAGCAGAGTTTGCCAGAATTGAGACCAGATGTCCATCCTTATCCACCAAAGTTGAGCTTCTCATACAAATATTGGATGATGCCAAAAGGTCGAAAGACAAAGTGCTGGTGTTCAGTCACTCAATACCCACGTTGAATTACTTGTCTGGGCTATTTCAAGAACAGAAGCGCCTCTTTAGTCGCCTGGATGGTAAAACCCCTATAGCGAAACGCCAAGAGGAGATCAAGAAGTTCAACGCAAATCATACAGAGGTCTATCTTATCTCCACAAGAGCCGGCGGCGTAGGTCTCAATATACAAGGCGCTAACAAAGTGGTGATCCTCGATTCCAAGTGGAATCCGGTACACGAGCAACAAGCCATCGGACGCTCCTATCGAATTGGCCAAAGCAAGCCTGTCAGTGTCTACTATTTTGTTACCGCAGGAACGTTTGAACAAGACCTTCATGGGAGAGCGATTTTCAAGACACAGCTGGCGACTCGTGTTGTTGACAAGAAAAACCCAATCAGCTGGGGTAATAGAGTGACAGAACTCAAGCATGATATCAAAGAAGTCGGGAAGGAGGACTTGACACAGTTTCTGAAAAGAGACTCTATTCTTGACAGATTAATTGCGTATGGTACCCAAGATCATGCTATTCGCAAGATCATGTCCACTGAGACTTTTGAGGAGGAGGATGCTAAGGCTCCGTTGTCAGCGGAGGAGCAAAAGGAGGCTAACGATATGGCTGCATTGAACGGGCTTCGAATGAAAGATCCTGAAGAATACAAGAGAAGGCAGCGAGAGATGGAAGAGAGGCAGTTTCGACGACATCACACCTCATATATGGAGCAGAGTTCCTCATCCCCAAAGAATAATGGGACTGTCCCTGAGGTCAGGCGAACCTTGGATGGTGCTACCGACATTCCGATGGGCGTGACCTCAAGCATTCAAACCCAACCCCAACCGCCACCGCCACCAGCACCAGCACCACCGGGAGCGATAATTGAAAGCACGGTATTGCCTCCGTCTACAAGTGCTCCCGAGGTACGTTTTCGAGTCTGTTCAACGATCATCCACTAACAACAATATCTGTAGGGAACCGCTGCGTCCACGCCGTTTCTCCTCCCCATACTTGGGGCTCACACCTACTTTGGAAAGGACACAACTCAAGCCCCGCAGGCAAAAACACAAGAAGTTGGGCAGACCAGACCCGTGTCTGGATCACCAGGTTCGGCGGCAAAACACTGGATGAACCCCTTCATTTCTCAGATTAAGAATCCGGGTAAGGCAGAGTTTAAGCAAAAGTTGTGCAAGAAACTGGAGACTATCCAAGACGGATCTCTTGCGCACCTGAATACGCCGCGGATCGAAATTGTGGAAAAGGTGATTGACTCGATAGATGCAATTCGCAGGGACCACAAGTTTGGGTTTCTGCCGGATAATCAACATTGGCGGGCGCTTGGCAATTTCGTTGAACAGGACAGATTTGTTTTGGGTGTCATGTCTGGGCAACTTGAGGCGTCATATCTGGCGCTAACTGATGCTGGGGAATTGGAGAATTATCTCAGCACGTTGGGCAGTGCACCATCAAAAGACTTTGCGGCTCCGGCTCCGGCTCCGGCTCAGAATCAGACGGCGGTACAGGAGGCCAAAAATTGATTTGTGGGTGTGCATAATATTGTAGGACTGGAAAGTTGCAAGCAAGGTGGGGGAGGCAATGCATCACGGTGTCCTGGCAGGCGTTCTTTATTTGGCATTTTGCATTTTGCGCCGTGATACCTCTGTAAGACCAAAGAGCACAGTACTAGTATCGCTATTCGTTTACCTATATGAACAGAGTCGTAAACCGCACCTGAAAGATAATCGCATAATTAAGCACACACGTCGCAGACGAGAAGGGGCTGGATGGAAACATGAGCCGGGATTCGGAGGCGAGGTCAAACCCCGCGGCGTCGCGGAGAAGTGACAACCGGCACATGGCCCAAGCCGGTCCTTGGTCCTTGGCTGCGATGGCGGTTTTTGGGGGCAGGCCTGGCAGAGCATGGCCAATGAGAACCAAGGTATTTGACAGGATCCCGAGATTCTGGAGCTTTCCCTGGGCTGCAAAGTGCATGGAAATATTGGTGCAGGGCCGGTGCAGACTAGAATTGCGCCAGTCGAACGACTCGGAATGGCCAAAGCCATGGTCAGGGTGGAGCCCTGGGCCGATGGAGGCGGCTTACCAGACCCAGACTTCCTACGGCGGAAGACGGTGGTACCGGTCGACCCTGTGACAAAACCAGACCAGACGCTTTGCTTCACACTTGCCGATGAACCCCCGAATTTCTTCTTCCAAAAACCCTCACCATCCTGACCACCGAGTATTGGCTATCCACGCTGTTTGGCAGAACTCTGCAATTGAGCGTAGACGCCCTCGACGGTGTCAATCTCTCGTTCCAACTGTTGCAGAGCCGTCTGCTACCTCAGAGTCCCCGGCTTGCCCGCATTGCGCTTGGATCCTCCCCCGGCAGGAAAACCACTGCTGCTGTCCAGAACCATCTCGCCCCAAGACTACAATACGATCGCTGAAATTGCGGATTGATTCTCAACGCCATGGATAGCGTTCTCCGTCAGTCCAAGGCCATGTGCCCTTTCCTCAAGGCCGCCTCGCCCGCCACTCTTCGGGCCTTGTCTACTTCGGCTCGCCCCAAGCCGTCTCCATGCGGCGGCACCATGTCCAAGCTTCAGGTCTTTGCTCACCGCTGCCCCGTCATGGGAAAGGCCATGGCCGTCCAGTCCGCCAGAAACGGAGTTGCTGTCGCTGCTGGACTTCGTGCCTTCTCTGGCCAGGCCAAGGTCAACAAGGCTCGTATCCATACCAGCCGCACCCAGGAGGCCCGCGCTGTTGACACCCCGATTCTTGAGAAGCGTGAAAATGGTACGCTCAAATTGTCACTCCATTCTCGAGTTCGTCCCCATGTTATTTCTACGGTATCCATTTGCTGACCCGCGGTTCATACAGGCTATCTGGCCCACGGCCACACTGGATCGGCTGGCAAGTTCAACTATGAAGGGTTCTACACTTCCGAGCTGGACAAGAAGCACAAGGACAAGTCTTACAGATACTTCAACAACATCAATCGTCTTGCCAAGGAGTTCCCCCGTGCCCACATGGCCAACAAGGAGGACCGGGTTACGGTTTGGTGCGCCAATGACTATCTTGGCATGGGCCGCAACCAGCGAGTGCTGAGCAAGATGAAGGAGACTTTGGATGAGTATGGTGCTGGGGCTGGCGGTACTCGAAACATTTCTGGCCACAACAGGCACGCTGTTGAACTGGAGGGCACCCTTTCCAAACTTCACGCCAAAGAGTCTGCCTTGGTCTTTAGCTCCTGCTACGTGGCCAATGATGCCACACTTGCGACCCTTGGGAGCAAGATGCCTGATTGTGTCATCTTGTCCGATAGTCTGAACCACGCGTCCATTATTCAGGGCATCCGTCATTCAGGCACCAAGAAGATTGTGTTCAAGCACAATGACGTTGCAGATCTCGAGGCTAAGCTTGCATCCCTGCCTCTTCACGTGCCAAAAATCATTGCTTTTGAATCCGTGTACAGTATGTGTGGCTCCATTGGACCAATTGAGCAAATTTGCGACTTGGCAGACAAGTACGGCGCCATCACATTTTTGGACGAAGTGCATGCCGTTGGCATGTATGGGCCTCATGGAGCTGGCGTGGCTGAACATCTGGACTGGGAAGCCCATCAGAAGGGATCGCCTCGAGGCACCATCATGGATCGCGTTGATATCATCACGGGCACTCTCGGCAAAGCTTACGGTTGCGTTGGGGGCTACATTGCCGGCAGCTCTAAGCTGGTTGACATGATCCGATCGCTGGCTCCAGGCTTCATTTTCACCACCTCGCTTCCACCTGCCACCATGGCTGGCGCCAAGACATCCATCGAGTATCAGATGGAGTACGCCGGTGATCGTAAGCTGCAGCAATTACATACGCGTGCTGTCAAGGAAGAGCTCAACAATCGGGATATTCCAGTCATCCCGAACCCATCTCACATTATTCCCATTCTGGTGGGTAATGCTGAGCTGGCCAAGGCAGCCTCCGATATGCTGCTCCAGGACTATCAGATCTATGTACAGTCGATCAACTACCCCACTGTTCCTGTTGGACAGGAACGGCTCCGCATAACGCCCACGCCCGGTCATACTAAGGAATATCGGGACGAGCTTGTCGAAGCCGTTGACCAGATCTGGGGCCGCCTTGGAATCAAGCGCACCTCAGAATGGGCCGCAGCGGGGGGCTTCATCGGAGTTGGTGAGCAGGGCAAGGTGGAGGAGCCTCTTTGGACAAACAAGCAGTTGGGTGTTGAGCAGGCAGCAAAGGAGATGATGGCTACGGGCCACGGCAACAATGGAGGGGGGTTCACCGAGGCCCTGCTTGAGCGAGAGATGAGCAATACAGCGCGTACCGCTGGCGTCGCAGCTCACTGATGTGAGCGCAGGGAACCAATTGTTGCGTATTCAATGATGAATCGTAATACGTGGTCTCAGGTCAAGTCGCGATGACACAGAACTTGTTTTAGGCATCAGGATTCGTTGCAAGTTTGGGGGTGTCGCAGGGCTTGCCCACCTTCACATGCCAAACTCTTTTCCCATTCTCTCCCAACAAATTTTTGAATCGATTACTTATTTTGTAACCCCTGGAGATGCTCGATGGAGCAATCACAGGCTAGGCAAACCAATTGAATTGTGGCCTGCATAAGGCAACTCTCGTGCCGCATGCAGGTCATCTGTTTGACAAAAAGACCAGCAAGCTTTTACCAACCATGACATTGTGACATTGACTCCGTTGTGTGGGCCAATATTGAGCCCCATGACCAGAAGACCTAACCCGGAAACCCTTTCCCAAGCGTAACATGGGGAAGAGTTGGGGAAGAAAGCTAGGCTAGATCTGTAGGATGATTTTCATGTTAGACTTTGGTGCTAGCGCTGGCATGTGAAGAATGGTCTGGAGAAAAAGTGGCCAAGTGTTGCGTGATGCTACTATTATGGTTGACATGGCGTAATAGACGTGGCTGTTGTGGTTTGGGCCGGCCAAGGGGTCGACAGGTACAGAGCCATGCCGCGGCGAGTTACGTATTAATGATTTGTGTGGTGATCAAGATGTCTCGGCTGGGGCGAAAAGCCATGAGCCAACGGCCCAGCCATCGGGGGGCTGATGAAGAGAAGAGGCAATGGCTGCGAGGGCGGTGCCATTTCCGGGGCGGAAGAACGTGTCGGGCGGGGAAATGGGCCAATGGGAGGGGCGGGAGAGAGTCAGTCAGGGACCACCGTCTCTGGCCAGCGGTGGCCAGCGGTGGAACGGACCCGCGGTGCAATTGTGGCGGTCCGTGTCCGCTCCTCCCCCCCAACCAGTCGCATTGACTCCCGTTGACGGCTCGTGCGGTTGGGCAACGGGCCTGGGACTCTGCGACTGGCACTTCTGCGACAGCTTGGGACTCGTGGGCGTGGGCATGCCATGGAGACTGCAACATCAGATGCGTGGAACCAGCGTGGATCTGAGCTGTCCAAGTGCGTGGCATTGACAGTCGCATTTGTCGGTGGCTTGGGGCCGGCTCTGGCGTGGGACTTCATCTAGACCCCGGGAATGGCCAGGCCAAGCTGCTCAAGTGGCTCTTGCCCTCTCCTTGCCCTCCTGCCCTCGACGTCAAACACAAATTAGAGTGTCTAAGTGCATGTGCTTGTTGATGATGCGGGGGCCGTCTGGTGTCTGGAGTTATTATTACCCCTTGGACTTCCTCCCTTGCCCTTCTGGATCTGCATCGTTTGCTGCATCACTTTGAGTCTTGTTCGAGGACAGGATGCAGCGGTGACAAGCGCACTCTCTCACAGCCTGACTTGCGACTTACACATCAAGAACCAACGTCGATATCGTTCCCGTTCCCTCCAGCAACTCTTGCCGATTTTCTCATCACCAGCTCCCGTCCAGCAAGGTCAAGATGCAAGCGACGCAAAAGGGACCCAAGGCCTGCACCACCTGTGCCAAAGCAAAGGCCAGATGCATACCCAGAGCCGATGGCGGGGAGAAGTGCGAGAGGTAAGCAACATGAGTTTGCTGGTTTGCGAGTTGATGCTTCTTCTTTCTTCCTTTCGTCTGGATTTGGCATTCGGCCTGTTCGGAGCTGGAGAGCTGGAGAGCTGGAGAGCTGTTCCTGTAGCTCATCAGCATCCTGTTCGCGCATCTGAAACCGTTCAACCGTTCATCTTGGCTGACTCGATTCCTTCACCACAACAGATGCCATAGGCTCAAGAAAGATTGCTTCTCCCGCCCGCCTGCCCCGCCGCGGGTCAAGAAGCGACCCAAGAGATCGAGGGTCGCTGAGCTCGAAAAGAGGCTCAATGAGTTGTCGTCTCAGTTTGAGGGCGCCCAGCCTGCCTCTGGCCAGAGTGTCTCGGCTGCGTCGCCGCCACAGCAGTTCACCAAGGCTTCTGACAAGACCGACATGTACTCGTTTGAACACCTCTTCCCGTCTCCCAGCCCTACCGGGGACGACGGCTACGAGGCCACGGCATGGAGCCCCGAGGTCATGAAGGAGTTTGATTCACCTTGGCCGCTGCCCGCTGAGAGCGAGATGCTTCTCATGGTCTACCGCGAGATGTTTGCTGAATATTTCCCATTTGTTCTCATCCCGCGGGAGCTGTCGTCGGCGGACCTTCGTCTGCAGCGTCCATTCTTGTGGAAGGCTGTCATGGTGAGCGCCACCATTTTCGATGCCACCAGACAGGTGAAGCTCGGGGAGGAGCTTCTGGCGGATATTGGCAAGGCATCTATCGTCGACGGGACAAGAAGTCTCGATATGCTTCAAGCTGTTGAGCTGTTGATTGGATGGTAAGTTAGCTGCATCGTCGTGTAGCATCATCGTACACAAACGTTATGATTGTGACTAACGTTTGACTGTTTCCGGGTTTTTAGGTGGTATTTCGCTTTGAAGAGTTCTCAGGTCACAAACTTGCTTTTCTTGGCCAGGTCCATGTGTGTCAACTTGACTGCCATGTCATACGGCTCTCAGGGCGAGGATGCCAAGTATGGTCCTTTAGATCACCTCAGGGCGTACGCCGGTGCTTACTATCTCAATACCATGTAAGTTGTTCTCTTGCCGAATGAATGTGGATGTGCCACCAGACTCTAATCGGTGGGTCAACTTATCAGCATCTTCACCACCAATAAGAAAACCGATGTGCTCATGAGCACTACACAACTCGACCACTGCTGCAAGGTCATCGAGAACTCGATGGAGTACCCCTCTGACGAGTATCTCATCAAGCTGGTCAAGATCCAGCAACTTGCACAGACCATTTCAATCACCGTGTCTTCTGACGGCATGGCTCCCATGTCTTTGCCTCTTGTCATGGTGGTGCAGTCATTCCAGGACCAATTGGACACTTTTAGAGCCTCTCTTTCTCCACGTCTTGCACAAAATCGTACGTTTTCAGTTCCTTTACTTTTTACCCCTCACAGTTTAACTAACTTCTAAATCTCTAGCAACCCTCCTTTGCCATATTCACGTCGCCGAAATTCTCCTCAAAGACATGGCCATCTCCGATCAGCGCTGCAGCCCCGATAATATGCAGGTCTCTGACCGCCTTCAACTTCTTTGGTCTTGCGTTAAGTCTCTCAGCGACTTCTTCGAAATCCGATTCGCTGAGCCCGAGATCGAGAGGCCGCGTTTCTTGTGTATCATTGCCTCCGACTTGGCTTACACGCTCATTACGGGCATCAAGCTTTTGACCCTGCAATTGCCTGGGTGGGATGTGGCGAGCATCACCAAGGAGCTGGATATGGTGGTTATTTTTGGCAAGCAAATCGACCATCTGATGGAGATTATGGCCAAGCGAAAAAGCGGTCTTTTGTCGCCAGACCGCTGCGGAATCGAGGACCCTCTGGAACGCCTTGTACGGTTAATGAGAACGGCGCAAGAGCTTGTGAGCATGCACGTAAATGGCGGGTCACCTCTACAGATGGTTGACGACATGGGAGCCGTTGCATGGCGAGACATAATGAACGAGGCACCCTGGGGCATGGAGGACAGCCAGGGACTCATTGACTTGGCTTCATGAGCCAGACTGCATCTGCTGCGACGCAAAGAATGGAGGCGCCCAAGGCGTCCACTAGAGTTCACGTGTGAGCTTTGGTTGTACAACCACGCGTCATCAAACACCACTGTGGCCACGGTAAATTAGGACCTGCCACACGGCCATGATGAACATCAAGAGATTGGGGAAACGGCGACAGTGGGGTGGAGTTCAAAATGGAATGGAGGCATTGGCGGGACTGGAGCTCTGCATAGCGTATGAGATATCCTTGTGATTTTCCCCCTTTTTGGGGGGAGGGGTTTGGTTTGCAATTTTGAATTAGCGATTCGGAATGAGCGGCTTTTATATGAAGGGAATGGACAGTCATTTCTGCGGACATGTAGTTGTACTTTACCCTGACTAATGTAAGATTGTGGAACCGTATGACTATTTTACGATTCTTGATGTGAAGTGTCTATATACCTTTTCTGGCCCCGTAGCCGACCCCCATGCAGTTTTGGATGGAATGGATATACTACTTCATTCGTCGTCGGCGACATCAACAGCCGCAACCTTGGCCAGAGCAAGCCACGTCGAATCCCCTTCCATTGTCGCCTTTCGAATCCCAAACAACTCGTCCAAAAACGCGGGCACAAAGGATCCTGGCCCCCTGACATGGTCTCTCTGGGCGGCCATCTCGGCGGCCAGGCCAAACATGACGGTTCCCGCAACAGTCGCGACCAGGGCATCTTGCTCATACGCGGCGGCCATGGCACTGACGGTGGTGCCGAGGGTGCATCCCGTGCCGGTAACCATGCCCAGGTAGCCGTGGCCGTTGTCGACGCGCAGCGTGCGCCTCCCGTCGCTAATCAGGTCCGTCGGGCCGGTGAGGAGGACGACGCACCGCCGCTGACGGGCGAGGGAGCGGACGAGCCGGGCGCGCTGTGGAACGGTGAGCGACGAGGAGGAGTCGACGCCGCGCTGGGTCACGCTCGCGCCGTGCACGGTCTGGATCTCGGATTGGTTGCCCTTGATCACGGCGAAGGTGCCCGATGCGAGGAGCGTCTGCACGGCCTCGCGGCGGACAGAGGTTGCCCCGGCGCTGGAGACAACGTGAGGCGTTAGATGCTGCGCGTTGAGAGACGAGAAGGGGGGGGAGCGTACGTACCCGACGGGATCGAGGACAACGGGCCGCCTGGCCTGGTTGTACGCTTTCAACGCCTGGGCGTAGTTGTTCAGGCCGTCTGGCGTCACGGTGCCCATGTTGAGGACCAGCGCGCCGCCGAGCCTGGCCAGGTCGGCGGCTTCCTCGGCGTAGTTGGACATGATGGGGCTGGCGCCGACGCAGAGGGCGACGTTGGCCGCAAAGTTCTGCACCACCTACATGTAGGTACATGGCATTGGTTAGGTCCGTTTCTGCTCGAGGGGAGTGGGGATATACCAGATTCGTCATGTTGTGCGACAGGGGGGTTTTCCTGCCCACGGCGGCGACGACGTCGGGGATCTTGGCGGTGATGACCTTGCCCAGGAGGTCTCTGGACGCGGCGGCCGGGTCGGCGGCGGCGATGATGGCGCTCACGACGGCGAGGCCGTCGAGGGCCTTGTGCGGCGAGGCGGAGCCCGCGAGGACGGCGGACGCGTTGGAGGCGTTGACGCCGCCGATGCACACGGCGGGCATGGACGAGTGGCCTGCTGCGTCGAGGGCGGCCAGGATGTCTGCGACGCCCGAGGGCCCAATGATGGATTTGGTGTCTTTTTTACTGCTCGCTGGTTAGGATTGTGATGAGCCAAGGGGGGATGCAAGAAGCCATACGTGGCTGTAGAGTAGACGGTTCCAAGGCCGAGATAGTCTGCGCCTGCTTGGCACGCACTTATGGCTTCTTCCTTGGAACTCGCTGTCACGCCGATGATTTTGTTCGGACCCAGGAGTTTCCTTGCTTGTTGGATTTCTTTTGTTCAATATACAAGGCGGAGTATTAGCCAATTGCTCCCTCTTTTGGGCCCCGACGTGTTTTGTATACATGTGCGTATATCGACATCGTCGACTGTATTGGGGGCAGCAGATGCATACTCACCCGTGTCATCCTGCCCAATGTGCACACCCTCACAGCCAATCTCGACGGCGACATCGACGCGGTCGTTGATCAGGAGCGGCACTCCATAGCTCTGGGTAAGCTGGTGCAGCTTCTTGGCGACGGCGACGACGTCCTCTTTGGCGCTGTGCTTGTCGCGATACTGGACGACGGTTACGCCGCCTCGCAGCGAGGCCTCGACTACGCTGATGAGGTCTTTGTCTCCCAGGATGGCGGGCGTGGAGTCGGTGACGAGGTAGACGGAGTAATCTACTGCCATTTTTTGGGTTCACGCCGCACAGACTGGACAACGAGAGGTTGGACTCTGGAGACTCGAGAGGGAGGGGTTGTGTTGGAGATTGATAAGTGCGGGTGAGGTCATTCGTGGTGGTTTGCCCGAATGGGGAGAATTATGGGCCGCGGTCGGCCATGGGCGCAGGTAAATAGGGCATGTTGGATGAATTTGACTGTTCTGAACTCCTGACTCGAGGGTCATCGTGGAAAGATATTCGTTGTGGCCGTTTGCTGGGACATTCGGCGAGAAAATACGTTGGCCAAGGTGATTGTATTTGAATCAATGTGACCAGGAAGGCGTGAATGGTCAAGGCAGAGAGATGAGAGATACTCTATAGCGCTGCTCTTCCGTCAATCTGAGTGTGATTTTAAACTACCTCTCTACCTCTATTTCCCCTGATGTTTTGTGCTGGGCGTCTTTCATCTTCATCATCCTCATAACGTATAAGCGGTTTTGAGAAGCATGCTCAAACTCATGTGACACAGTGAGACCATTGAGCCTTCGTCTATGTATGTAGAGAACCATTTCCATCTCACAAAAAGCACATGACATCTTTTCATCATTTCTCTCAACTTTTGCTCAATAAACATTTAATAAGCCATCTTTCATGCACTGTCAATGACACGTCAATCTTACAACATTTCAACGCGCGTCTTTTTTTTTCCCTTTTCTTTTCAAGTAATGCGCTTAGCCGGAAGCGGATCCCAATGGTTGAACAGACACCGAAATCTGGCTCGGCTGCGACGGCGTGATCCCCTCCGTCTCACTACTTAGTCTCAACCACATCTGGCCCTGCTGCTGCGTCGCATTGGCAAGGGAGCGCTTCGCCTCGTCTCTCAGCTGGTGGAGGACCTTGAATCCTCCCCTGATGTTGTCCGTCTCGTACCCCTTGGCCCGGAGCACACTATTCGCCACGCGGGAGCTGTCGCCGTCGTAGCACAGGAGCAAGACACGCTTGCCGTGAAGCAGGGACTGGAGGTCTTGGTGAGGGACTTTGAAAGTCTCTTCAAGCCCAGTCCATAGCCCCTTGAGGGCGCTAGGATCAGAGAAGGGACTGGGCTGGTCCGCCTGGACGAACGGCACATTGGTAGATCCGGGGACGTGGAATTCTTCAAAGTCTGCCGCCTGGCGAAGATCAATGATTGTAGTTTCAGACTTGGGCCGAGCAGCGCTGTTTTCCAAAAGCACATCGCCGCTCACAGTTTTGCTGACACCAAAAAAGGCAGCGAGGGCGTCGGCTGCGTCTCGTTCCCAGGCTTCGTCATATCTGTAGACATCGACGCCGAGGAGTTCCTAATCTCAAATTAGTCATGAATGACGGAAAGTGACCGACAGTTGGCTGCTTTTTAGGCACATACCTCGTTTTTGATGGATGGGAAAAACGACTCGCCCAGTTTGTCAAAGTACTCGCTTACATACTGGTATGGCAAATCGCAGCACAAGAAGGCACAGTGAATCTCGCCATCCGACCCGGCCAACTGGGAGAGATTGCCTTCTGCCTTGCGCTTCTCAATGAACTGGAAGAGGCCTTTGAGGTTAAACCCGGACGAGGGTCCGCAAACAAGACCTTCTCGGATCATGTCCAAGGAGAGAGAGTACGAGTCGTGCGACCCAACTTCCTCGATGTGGTCAACGGCAGCTTTCCAAGGGAACTCAACAGGTGCCAGCAGGGCGTACGACCGGGGTCCTGGGACGCGGTCACCGGCTGCAGTGCAGACTCTGTTTTGTTGTGTTAGCGATTCCGATCGAGCGGCGAATGCTTCAAGACTACACTCACCCGAGTCTGAAGACACTAGGCTTTGCCTCCTTAAAGTACGTGCCAAGACCAGTCATGGTACCTTCAGTCACAAGTTAGCAATGTTACATTTACACATGAAGAGCCAGGGAGCTCACCTGAAGTGCCCATGCCTGCACAGATGATGTTAATTTCAGGTAGCTGCCTCAGGATTTGAGGCCCCGTCCACTTGACATGAGACTTCCAGTTCTACACGACAGGGTTATATTAGCATACAGTATACAAAGTGAATCGTGGCCTGACTTACGCTGTCGTTTTCATATTGATTAGGGTTAATAGTCGCCGAGTCAGACGTCTGTGCCAATCTCTGCGCAGCCCGAATACCACCACGCTCATCAAGCGGTTCGGGTTGTGAGGGACCGCCAAACAGCGTGCTAGGATGTATATGAGTACTCCGTTGTCAAGGTATAAACAAGAGCCAAGTCATGACGTACATGTTGATTCCGAATAGCTGCATCAGGCGAATCTTGGCAAGACTAGTCTTATTGCTAAGAAAAGCCCGGACATCTGGCAGGCCATAGAATGCCCGGGCAATCAGGGACATGGAAAGAACGGTTGAGCCGGAGCTGTATTCGACAACAGTCTTGGTCTTGTCTGGGACGATGCTATTCTGCAAAAGATTGAGGGCTACAAGACACCCAAGAGTTAGACAGACATGACATGAGTGGAATAGTTTGTGGCCGCCGTCATATACCTGGCATTGACTTGACATTATTAGCGGGATGCATAGACATCATCTTCGCGTAGATGCGAATACCCTCGGAGCGGTAGGGGTTGAGACAGTCCGGTATCTCAACCAGGGGCATTGGCGGCGACGACTCTGGATCGAAATACTGCCGAACCGAGTCGGGCCCCTTGTAGACGTTCAAGAAGTTGTCATTACCCATGGCTGCCGTCTAGTCGTCTTCTGATTTGCCTATGTGTTTTGGTGGTATTTTCGTCCGGTCTTTCAGGGTCAGGTTTTGTTTGTGCTTGATATATATACATGCATGTATGTATATGCCGTTGCAGCTCGGACTACCACCCTTTGTTTTTTCCAAGTCAAGGCGTCAAATAAAATAAGCTACTTGGAAGAGCAGCCACGGTACTTATCCCGTCGTCGTCGTCGTCGTCGACATCCCTGCGACCAACTATCACCGGGAACCTTGCGTGAGAACGAGCGGGCGCCGTAAACCTAGCTAAAACAACGCAAAACCCGCATCGGCCATTACAAAATCCACTTCCATTATTGAATAGCCCCTCTAGCTCCTGCAACGTTGTGTGGCTTGTAATGCTTACTTACGTCCAATGATACGAGGTTGCTGATCATCTGCTCGCCGTGACTTACATGCCGGTCCTACAGCCCATGTCCGCTAACGGCGGTTTCGTGCTGTCATGATCTTCGCATGTCTTTGTCTAGAACAGCACGCCACTGGGTTTCAGTCACCAGCTGCATCTGCCAAGAGAACCAGGGGCCAGCAATTTGTTGTAATACTACGCCTAGACTGGCAAATAGGTAGACAGCGACATGTCTTGCTGGGATCGAGCTGGGCCAACGCCTGGGGTTGACGAAGTGTGGGTTTTCTTATCTGATGGATAACTCAAATACCAATCGTTGTGATATAATTTGACAGTGCTTAACAAGTACCTTGTTGTCCTGAGCGAACTGTCTGTCATACATACATAGAGCTAGCAACAAAGAAATGGAAGAAAAAAAAAACTCACCCATGTCTGTCCATCAGGGTAGTAATAAGACCACCAAGGTATTGTAGAGATGCAAGATGTGCTGCTTATGCGACACGTCCCTCGTTCGTCCGGCCAGTAGCACACACAACCTTTAGGCAGTCTTTGCAGCGTGGCCTGACGATTCTTTTTTTTTTGTCCTCGGGGTCGAGAGCACACCCTGATAGTTTCACCTCCCTCCCCAGAACACTTCCAATCGCCAAGATCGCGGTCGCTGGTGGAGATGGGCTTTGACTTTCGACCCTTACAGACGGCGTCGATCTCCTCCCTGTTTGAGCTTAATCTCTTTGCCTGAGACCAGGAACCACCAACCACATCCTTCTAGAATAGGAAAGCTGGCTTCTCAAATACGCTCAAAGTCTCTCAAGGTTGCTGCACATATCATCCCCCGCTCTACGGCGGTAATCTAAACCGCCGTGAGGGATGCAGTAAAAGTTCACCTGCGAGTTCGTGTAGCCACGGAATAGAGCTGTATATCATGGCATGGCAACCTCGCGGAGGGTCTTCAACGGCCGCAAAGCGGTCAAAGTAGGGCCGGAAGCAATGTGACCGCCTGTCACGAAGCCATTCGGACAATCGAACAAGTAAAGTAGGCTTTCGCGGTTGGAGCCAAGTGTTATGCTTCTCCACTCGTCGGACTTGCTTGGCTTGCCATCTCGTTAAGCTTATTCTGGCCACAACTATACAGGCCCGTGGATGGTTGCTTTTTCGCTGGCTGCTCAACGGCAAGACCTGCCAAAGAAGGGAGACTAGACCATTATCAGGGATTGGCGACGTGGGCCAGTAGGTCGCATTGTTCACAAATTGCCTTGCCGTATGGACGGATCTCGCCCTTCTGATACAACGTCAGTATTACCGTCCCAACCCAAGTACGTGCTCAATGGCCCTCAAACCTTGTCGTTGATGAACAGGGGCCGAGGGGATCTCGACCAAAACCCTGACATTATTTGGTTTCATACCTCGCATTTATTGGTCATACAGGTTCGCAAACGTCGTTTGTCGGTCGTTTATTTGTCGTAATCGATAAGCTTTTCAACCTGCTTGCAAAACCCGCTCGAGTCATTCCTGGCCACGCTCGAGTCCATTCTTGCTTTGTCCCTCTCGCAAACCCAACTTGGTCTCCAAGTTCAAATTGCCGTCCCTCGCTCGAAGAGGCCATGAGTCGATGACCACTTGATCAAACCAGCAGCATATTGCCACCTCAAATCGGAAAAGATGGGGAAAGAGTCGTCAAGCCAGGCACAGGAACCCGCCGTGGTGGTAGGTGTGCCAGCAAGTCCATCTGCCGATGCGTCTGCATCGTCTGATAGCGACGGCGAAGTCGCCAAGGTACACCAGTTCAACGAGCAGACGAACTATGTGCCCAAAAGAACAATCATTACGGTAATACGCACCCATTTCTCTGACAATAGCTCACGCTGTCTGTCGACTTCATACTGACCGCCACAGATCTTTCTCGCCTGTGCCAGCGTTGATCTGTTAGCTTTGATGGACCAAACCACCCTCGCCACAAGTTTGTACATCATAGGACGAGCTCTGGGATCAACAGACCAAGTATCATGGATTGCTAGTGGTTATTTCATGCATGTACCTCTACAACGTCCAGAAGAAGGACATTCGCTAATGCGACGAATAGAACGTCTACCGTGGGACAATTGCTATACGGCCGACTCTCCGACATTTGGTCCCGCAAAGTAGTCCTGCTAACTGGGCTCGCCATATTCTTTATTGGATCTTTGGCATCGTCTCTTGCTCAATCCGTGCTACAACTGACCGTCTTCCGCGCTTTTACTGGCATTGGAGGCGGTGGCTTGATGACTGTCGCGCAACTCATTGTCAGTGACGTCGTGCCTTTGCGAGAGAGAGGAAAGTACCAAGGAATTCTGGTAAGGGACCTTGTGGCCAAACCTGCTCTTTGTTTCTAAGCTGATGAAGGTGTCAAGGGTGCCGTTGTAGCCATTGCAAACGGTATTGGCCCCGTTATCGGTGGTGCTCTTTCGTCCAAGTCCTCTGAATCATGGCGCTGGATTTTCCGTCTCAATCTTCCATTGACTGCCCTAACGACGGGCTGTGTCATCTTTTTCATGCCGTTAAAGAAGGTCCAGGGAGATTGGAAACTGTAAGTCTCGTCGTGCTGCGATAGTCCAGCCGGGGTTTTTTGTTTGCTTTCCTCTATTTTTTAACACATCTTCAGAAAATTAAAGGCTGTCGATTTCGGCGGAATCTTCCTGGCATTTGCCGGCATGACCATCTTTATTCTGGGCATGACTTGGGGAGGTCGCGAATACTCGTGGAATTCCGTACAAGTCATCACCACCATGGTGATTGGTGTGGTTGTCTCGATTGGCTTCGTTTTGTGGCAGTGGAAAGGACCAAAGTATCCTCTTGTGCCTCGTGAGTGCCTCACTTCTGCCTGTCAATTTTCGCCTCATGGGCCGCTAACATGCCTCAGTCCATATTTTCAAGTCCAAGATCGTCAACGGCGCATGCCTAACAATGGCCATTAACGGATGGAACTTTGTCATGCAAGTGTACTATGTCCCGTCCTTCTACCAGCTCGTCTATGGATACTCTGCCACAAAGTCAGGAGCTCTTCTTCTTCCCATCACCATCCTTCAAACTATCAGCAGCACTCTTTCCGGCTTGATTGTACACTGGATCGGCAGGTACCGGGAATGTATTTTATTTGGCTGGGTATGCTGGGCCGTTGGCCTTGGTCTCATGTCGACTTTGGACGAAACCACCGGACTTGGTAAACAGATTGGTTACGCTTTACTGATTGGTGTTGGAGTTGGCAACACACTACAGCCGTTAGTTGATTCTGCCGCACTTGGCACATATTTATATGGAGTTTCACATCTAACTCACCCAGGGCATTGATTGCAACACAGGCCGGCGTTGAGCGCCGCGACATGGCAATCGTTACCTCATTTCGCAAGTATGTGCAGAAAGAAAAGAAGAGATTGGGACAACCCGTCCCTAAGCCAGCAGATGTTAACAGCGTGCAACAGTTTCGTCCGAAACCTCGGGTCAACCCTTGGACTTGCAGTCTCTGGGACTGTAATGTGAGCCAAAACCTACACATGGACCCCTTTCCTACTTTATACCAACGTACTGATAATGTGCAGCAACAACATTCTGGCTGGAGCATTTTCATCCCTTAACCTGGATGCAAACGCAGCCAAAGTCCTACTCAGCAACCCACAAGAATATCTCCGAGAAGTGTCTCCAGAAGAAGCCGACCGTGTCAGAGCTATTCTTTTCCCGGCATATAAACGAGGGTTCCGTATTATTTTCATTATCGGTGCATCATTGGCCGCATTTGCATTTGTCCTGGCATTTTTCCTCATGCCGCAGGTAGAGTTGAGTCGACCGGATGACCAAAAGTTAAAGGAGGAGGCGCAAAAAGCTCACGATGAGAAGAAGAAAAAGAAGGAGGCAGCTTAGATTTCATGACCTGTTATTGCTCAAAGGATTTTCTTCTTCTTTCTGTCAGCTTTGTAGAATTGGATTAGAGTGGGTTAAAAAAGTACGGCCGCCGTGATAAAATATAGACAGACTGGACTAGGCGGGAAAAGGAGAGTGTCATGCCGAGGATTTCAAAAGATTTAAAAGTCTAAAAGTACTTATTTAACGAGCATAGGCTACATGACTGTGTTTAATCAATACATGTATAATTGATTCTGAAACTGGAATGCGGCGTGCGAGGCAAAGTAAAAAAAAAAAAAAGTGAAGGAGAAAGTGTCTACCTAGGTAGTTAGGCGTGGTCCAGTTCCTTCCCGAGACAAACTGCTGTTGCGTCACTTTTGACCAGCCCCACCCACCATCAACTTCATCTCATCTCATCCACATCGCAGCATGAAAACTCATCCATACTCAAGCAAGACTACATCATTTGAGCCTTGAGCGCGGCTCAACCGCTATAATGACACGATTCCGACCGTGTATAGACCTACACGCCGGCCAGGTTAAGCAGATTGTCGGCGGGACTCTCGACAGCGCCTCGTCGGCCCTGCAGACGAATTATGTGTCACAACACCCTCCGTCTCACTTTGCAGAGTTGTACCGGAGCAATTCCCTCGAGGGCGCTCATGCCATCATGCTGGGGCCGGGAAACACGGAGCCTGCCAAGCAGGCGTTGCAGGCGTGGCCGGGTCACTTGCAAGTAGGTGGCGGGATCAACGACAAGAACGCAAAGGAGTGGGTGGACGCGGGGGCTTCCAAGGTTGGTTCCACGAGCCCGGCAGAAGACGGCTCGCAATATCGGAGGCTAAAGGGAACACTACCAGGTCATTATCACATCATATCTCTTCCCGGGAGGGAAATTTAGCCAGTCAAGACTAGACGCCGTTCTCGGAGCTTTGGGCGGCGACAAGAACAGACTGGTCATTGATCTGAGTTGTCGCCGGCGCGGTGAGGCCTCATGGTTTGTGGCTATGGACAAATGGCAAACAGTAACGGACATGGAGGTCAATCAAGGTAGGTGGCTGGCCGGGAATGGGACTCCAGGGTACGGAATTTGTTGACGGCTTGGCTGACCGTGGAACCAGAATCTATCAAAGCCCTGGAGCCGTATTGCTCCGAGTTCTTGATTCATGCGGCAGACAATGAGGGCCTGCAGAAGGGCATAGACGAGAAGCTAGTGGAGAGACTGGCCGAGTGGTGCTCTATCCCCGTCACTTATGCCGGTGGAGGGCGGTATCTGGAAGACTTGGATCTCGTCAAACGGCTCAGCGGGGGCAAAGTCGACCTGACTATTGGTAGTGCATTGGACTGTTTTGGTGGGAACGGGGTCAAGTTTGATGATTGCGTGGTTTGGAATAGAAGGCAGGAGGAGTAATTAAATGCTACGATAGAAAGAAAAGGAATGTAACAAACATGACCGAAGATAACGCAAGAGCATAATGCAGCTAGGGTAGTTTAGCCAAAGAGCAATGAGCGGTCTAATAGACGCGGGAGTCGCCGCACTGATGCATACAAATAAATGGCCAAGAGTGCAAGACCTCAAGTGCTGTTTTTGGTGGGGACAAATGCAGGTGACTTTTTTTTTTAATCGCCGCTTCTGATACAGAGTCCGAGGTCGTTCTATTTAATTGCGCGCTTTTTTTTTTTTTTTCCCAAGTCGTGGTGGCTGAGGCATCCACGACAACGGCAACAATTGTTTACACATTTGTTTCCTTGCATGGGTCGTTGGCCAAGGAACAGGGCACTAATAACAACACATACCGAGTTATCAGCATGCTCCGATCGCCAATCTCTGTGCACCACTGCACAATGACAAGGTTACAAGGCTTTGAATCAATGGTCGGGGTGGAGAGAACAGGCGGAGGAGGCGATTTGTACAGCATATACGAGGTATTGTGCCATTGACTGCTCCCAGTTCCCGGTAAAGTTGAAACAAGCCAACGTTGAACACAAAGCGCCCATCATTGCGCAGAGAGACGTTGATTCTAAAGTTGGCTCTTGTCTACGACATGCAACATGCGATATGCACCATGTGAAACTAAGATATGGTTGCCCCGTAATGGCTCTCCAGAATCCAGACAGGAATACTATGTACTATCATCTCTTCATCGGACTCCCCATCGCACATGTGCAGCCGTCAGCAATGACGTGCAGGACGCGCAGAGCGTGCAGGAGGAGGCAGGCTGCATACAAGCTATCCATCACGGATGGGTTCGTACAGGCCGTCAGTTGATCATGTCCCCCCACCAGTGCGCAGACAGCAGTGGGCGGTTCCATTCCATTGTTTTGCGCATGTCGTCTTTTTGGACCCTGGCTTATCTGGGCTTCGCTGCCACGACGACTCCATTGGGAGCATGGCTGACCAGGGCGGACGGGCGGATGGGGGAGATCAAGATTCCGATGACGGTATTTCCTGTGACTCCAGTATTGTTCATCCTTCTACGGAGCACTCCGTACCAGACTGGAAGAAGTCGATGGCAGCGGACCAGGATGGCGCTCATCATGGAGTCCATGGAGTCGTGGGATCATGGGGCGATGAATAAATAGGTCTCGAGCCGCAGCAGTGGCGTCTTGCGCCCGAGATGCAGCTGCGGCGGGGTCAGACTGCACTGGAGCCATCGGATTGCTCGAGCTGACAAGGACCAGTTGACCTGACAAGGGCCAGTCGACCCCCGGTGCGTTCTCAAGCGGTGCGTTCTCAAGTGCTGCTTCATGTTTCTTGCCAGTGTGGCGTGTTCCCTGCGACGCCGTGCTACTGGTCCGTTTTAGGGCGTCACGGGGCTGCTCGCTGCCACCAGTTGCCCTCGAGTGCTGGGGCCGTTCAAGGCGGGTGCGAGAGGGTGGCACGATGGCGGGTGCGAGGCGGGTGCGAGGCGGGTGCAAGACGGGTGCAAGGCGGGTTGCATGGCGGCTCTGGTGGGTTCATGGCGGCCTCGGCGCTGGGACCATCGGTTGCCGGGGCAACCCCCCTCGAATCTCCCCGGCACTGTTTATCCAGCCCAGGCCAATCATGCGCCTCGACAATGTCGTCTACTATCAATCACTTGCATTCCTTAAGTGCTGCCACTCTCCGTTTGTCAGTCCGACTCCTCATCGTCAGCGTCAGCGTCATTCATTCTTGGATGATACTGCGAGAAGCTGTGTAGATTGGCCGTTTCCCAGCCAGCTGTCGACGCATCGTGACGAGTCGCATCGTGCATGTCGATTCGCGCCGCCTCGCCCGGCCTCATTGATCGCAGTGGAAAGGCACCAAGGCAGCTTGTATTGCCTCAGACACCAACTTGGCCAAGCCGCTCAACAGCATTCCAGACATCCACATCGCACCACTCTGCTGCCGTTCTGCGAGCCGACACATTCCTCAACTGTTTGACCCTGCAACACCAGGACAAACCAAGCTGTGGTCACCATGGCCACCGAGCCGGTATGGCAAACTTGACCCTTTTGCACCTGCTCCTCCGCATCACACTAACGCTCGGGTCTCAGGTGCATCCTCTTCGCATCTCCAAGAACACGCCAACACCTTCGCCAAAGAAGACGATGGCCAGCCCGCTTCCTCGTCCGTTGAGCGAGATATCACCAACGGAGAAGAGACGAAATTCGCCAAGCTGGCAGCCGTATTCTCCCAAGGTTGGTTGCATGCCCATGCCCATAGCCATCCCCCCCAAAAACCCCAACCCCCAGATCACCTGCCATTACTGCAACTACCATCATTGTTCATGCGCCCTGTTGTGGCTGGTCGTCTCTGGCATCTGAATGATGTCCTCTGTTTCTGTCCTACCACTTGATGCCCCCCCCCCCTCCCCACCGGTTCTCGCGGCTTCGTGCATTTGGTTTCACACCGCACAGTCTCCCCCGTCTCCATAAACTTCCTCACGTCTTCATCTCTTATTTCTAACACTTGTGATATAGAGGTCTGCGCTGCCCGGCAACGACTCTTCACCATTCCAGTCCTCACCGCAGGAGTCTTCCACTTCACCAAGACTCTTCTGGCAGAGTCGCAACTCTGAGAACATGCTTCATGGCGCCTGTTCTGGTTCGCCCTCGCCAAACCGCCGTTCTTCCATTGAGCGCCTCCAGAGGGCGTCTCGTGTGAGAAACAGCAACATCTTGGCGCTGGAGCAGAAGCAAGAATATGACCCTACCAGAATCCCGCACATCGAGAGACCCCTGGCAAAGGTCCAAGGAACCGTCCTTACGTCTTCGTCGAGCTCTGGTGGCTTTCGCTCCTCAGACTCAGATCTTCAAGAACCCGACAACAGATCGAGTCTGTCCATGATGAGCCCGTCCAAGATTTCACCTAAGCTGCCTGAGATTACCCAAAAGTCGGCGAGATCTCCAAGCAAAGACCAAGCCTCCCCGACCAAGTCCTCTCTTTCACCAACCAAATTCAACAAGAACACATTTGACCCCGACGTCGGTACTTGGTCCGGACATTCGTCTTTGAGCGAGAAGGAACTTCCTGACGGCCGCTACCTGAGCCGGCATCACAAGAGTGTCACCTTTGACGCCGCGCCGCCTCAGATCAATGAGTATGAAATGGCCACACCTGACCTCTCATCTATCGGAACAAATTCACGAGAGGGCAGCTACGACTCGGTTGAGGACGAAGACGACGACGACGACCTCTATGACCCCGCGCATATCGACGTCCAGGACGAAAGCTTTGACGAGTCCCTTGAAGACACTGACAAGACTCCTGTTGTTGGCCCGGACGACTGGCGCGGTGACAGCCCCGTGATTCACCGCGTTCTGGACCCCAGCAAGTTTGAAGGCAGTCCAATACCGGAGCCTGGCCCCATGATGGCGGCTACCGGACGAACAACCCCTACCAACAACAAGCGTTCTGACTCTGCCACCTCCAACGGAGACCATCGACCACTGCCTCCTCTGCCAGGCACGGGCCACTCTAGAAGCCAGTCTTCAGGCTCCAACGGGGCCTCTCCCGGACTATCTGCGACGGCCGAAAGAATGCTCGGCGGCTC